CCGCCCGCCCGCCTGCACTCCACGCAAGGCAGCGCCCGCCCGCCCGCGGACCGCTCAGAGTCGGCGAGCGAGCCAGCCAGCCAGCCAGCGCGAGCCAGCCAGCCAGCCTGAGCCAGCCTGAGCCAGACCGTTCTTCCTCGCCCTCCTCCGCACCCCGTCCAGACCCACCACCACCCCTACCATCACCACCGGCCCCCAATCACACCGCACCCGTATCCGCCACCGTCGCCGCTCCTTGCTCGTCCTCCATCCTCTCACGTACGTCTGCGCATCGCACTCTTCAGCCCGCCGCTCGTTGGCTGCCACCCACCCACCGACAACGACCTGCTCCAATCGGACAGCGCAACTGATCCTCGACCCCTCTCTCTCTGTCTGTCTCTGATACCTCACTCGACCATCGATCGCCTTACGCAGCCCTACAACCGAACCCACTCAAGTGCCTCCAACATGAGCGGATGTGGGTATTCCGTCTTTTGGCTTGCTCGATGCTGCGTTGGCCCCGCCGCAATACTGACACGCATACATACCCTGCCCCTGCCCCTGCCTCTGTTCCTGCCCCTGCCCTCCCTGCCCTCGCCCCTCCCCGCCCTCGCCACCCCGCAGTCCGGTTCCTGTCGCTGGTGCGGCCATTCATGTCGGTGCTGCCCGAGGTGTCGGCACCGGAGCGAAAGGGTGAGCCTGCCGACGTTGTCGACTGCGAGCCACAGCATCGCCCTCCTCGGGGCCCCCTGAGGGGGTCGGGATCCTCCCTCCGTGGCTTCCCTCTCCCTCCCTCCAACCTCGACCTCGCCAGCTGACTCTTCTCCACCCAAACGTTGCCTCTGCTCCTCTCGCAGTCCCCTTTGAATCCCGAGTCATGTGGACCGCCATCGTGCTGGCCATTTTCCTCGTCTCGTCCCAGATCCCCCTCTACGGCATCGTCTCGAGCGACAGCTCCGACCCGCTCTACTGGATGCGAGTCATTCTCGCCTCGAACCGCGGCACCCTCATGGAACTCGGCATCTCGCCCATCGTCACCTCGGGAATGATCATGCAGCTCCTGGCCGGCGCCAACCTCGTCGAGGTCGACTTCAGCCTCAAGGAGGACCGCGCCCTCTTTGGCGGCGCCCAGAAGCGTAAGTAGCATTCACACGCGACCACGAGCGACGGACCT